TCTTAATAATATCTGTCTATTATTTTCAATTTCTTTTTTTCTAATCGAACTTAGACCATATTTAATAAGTGAATCAACAGAAGAACAGTTTTTCATCAGAATGTGAGCATCAACATTTTCTTTATGAGTTAGTGATGCTTCATGTTCTTCAATTCGTAAATATATATGTGTCCATTTCATAACACCAACTGTAAATCTACCACTGCCATCTCCATATGCCAAACATATATAACAATGTAATGATGAATTTCCACGGTTATATGACACCCACAATTTTTGTTTTTAATAATTATAATATATAACCCTTTCTATAAACCCAGTAACCACTGTTGACTGCAGGTGCTTATAATGAGGTAATGGAAGTCGACAAAAATTATAACACGCATATCATAATTTTTCTTTTCTAATATTCTCCCTCAGTGATTGAAAGTATGTTCCTAAAAATATGTATTTTTGCATAAAATCATTAATTTACAAAAATAATAAAATTTTTTCATAAATCATTTATTTAATATACAATATTTTAATAATATAGTATATTATTATATTATTGTATAATATATTTATTAAAATAGAAAATCACGGTATTAACAAAAGCTACACTTAACAATTTTAAAACTTATTAAAAATATTTTGATGAAAAAATTGTTTTTATGACTAAAGAGACTTCAGTATTAGACATTAGTACTATACCACTATTGGAAATAAGAAAACACCTAAAATTTTTGACATGAAATATCACGATATTACAATACATATTATTATTGTTGGTGTAGTATTGTACATATATTACGTGTTTTGTACTGTATAGCATTAAATTACATAATTATAGCGACGGGATTTAATAAATTATAATTGCATAAAGTCTGCACAACAGACTATATCTGATGATAAACCCGGTTTTCTTATCGTGGCTCATGCCGTTTATAAAATAAATATCAATAATGAAAACAATATAATGTAGTTAATAATAGAAATATTAGGTAAAAAAACAATATTATTAAATTGCTTCTCGCATATCAACAACTATACGGATTCGGCAGATTTCATCTACGGTATTCAGTTTTCAGTCTATAGTCGGAGACACGAAAAGTGGCCCCTGACCGTCACGAACCTAGCGGCTGTTTTGCCGTAGGGGTCCGTAATGTAATTAAATTAATTGCCGCGTTTTTTTGAATTAAAACGTAATTTACTGAAAATACTTTAAATTATTTTATAAATCAATTTATTTATTCAAATCAAACACAAAACATTTCAAACTTAAAAAAAAATACAAATACAAAATATATAATTTAATGTAAATAATTATCCGTGATTTATTCGTTATCTTCATTATCTTCGTCATCACTCCAGTCACTATCATCTGGTATAGTTAAAATTATTGGCTCTATCAGGGCGTCCTCATTTCTTTGCGGTTGTCTTCATTCTGAATTTCTTAGCATGACGGAGCATTCTTCCAATCTTCTATGTACATGCTCACGCCCTGTGTGTTAAACGTTCAATATCAACCATTTTGAAGGTATTGTTATTTTCGCCACGGCCCAATTGAGCCCAAGTTCAATTGATTGTACTTACAATATAAGGTAAGACGGATTACCTCGGCCCTTTCACGTACTTTATCCAGTTCGCGTGGCAATAGGTGTTTAACTTTTTGCCGAAGTTCAGATAGTGTTTCTAATGGGTGAAACTCAATGTTTTTTTCTTTTAGCCAGTGTTGTACGTCGACTTTTTTCTAATCACTTTTGGATATTTTTCTTTGAGGACTGAATGGTAAGGTGCATCATCCATTATGATAATAAATAGCTCTTCAAGATTATTCAGCATTTGAATAAACCACTGCTTGAATACCTCACCATTCATCTGATTATGGTAATCATTTGTATTTTCGGTCTTACTTCGAAATACCAATTTTGATCCCTCTATAAACCCGTAGCGAGCACATCCTGCGTGGCATACAATTAGTCTACCGCCTTTACCTGTTGGCACCTTTAGACCACCTGAGTTGTTCTCTTTTTGCCAAATAAGTGTGCGCGAATGGTTTTGGTTTACCCACGTTTCATCGAGATAAACCATTGGCCGATCGTCTTTATTCTCTCGCAGCGTACACATTTGCCTTAAAAATTTACACCGAAGTGCGATGATATCGTTCCTCTCCATTAAAAACATACGACCATCGTTACATTTTTTGTAAGAAAATTTTAAATTTTTAAGGAGCCTTTGCATTGATCGAACGCACCCAGTGTAATTTGTTTTTTTTTTTTTTACGACATTAAGTATCAATTGAGCAGTTGGGTACTCACCCCGATCGTAAAACTCGTGGACAGTTCTTCTAACAATATCAGAATCGAAGTCATCCAGCTCCGAAACCGTTTTTGCACGTTTATACGCTTTACGTGGAGAAAGAAACGTAAGACCCGCATCTGGTGTTTCTGGATTTACATTACTTTTTGCTTCAGCACAAATCCGTTTCATAGTACGATGACCTACTCCACAAGCTTAGGCAGTAAGAACTTGAGCACTTTTAAAAAAATCAGCGGTTAAATCTGGCTTCTTCGACAATTCTTTTAAAAATATATACACACTATAAATTATTTTTTTACTCTGACTGTGAGTATCTTTATCAACAAACGACATTTTTAAATAATTTACACGGTAATGTTAAATGAATACGGAGGAGAAAAAACAGTGTAAAAAATTGTTGTTAACAAACGGACGGTAAACAACAGACAATACGATAAAACACGAGAACCATAGGACCTGTGCCCTGTATATATTATGTGGATTACTGTATCCCTACCATAGTACGTTTTAAACACACACGTTCCAGACATGGGCGCCCATAGGTAACATTTTAGAGGGAGTCAAAATAAAAAAAATTTCGAATCTAATATAATAAAGATTTAATGTTATTTTTCACATATAAATGTATACACTATGGTCACAACTAGGGGGGGGGGGCTTGGGAGTGCTTAGCACTCCCAACATCAAAATTAGCACTCCCAAATTTTCTATACCGTTTTTTTTACAATATTGGTACCTGGAACCTATTAGTAAAATTTCTGATTTTATAATTAATAATTTTATTTACGAGTATTGACCAGTAAAATTGATAATTTATCAAAATATTATAAATGGAAATTACATATGCGTTTATTGCTGTAATGCACTAAAGGCGTAGGTACAGTACTACAGTGTACACACTATACGTAGAATCAATAAGTTGTATTTTTAAATATTTTTCCAAGATTCTCAACCAATTAATGACCGTCGTTAATTTTATCGTCAACATTAGCTTGGCGAGGTGAGAGTGTACTGTCGACATAACAATACAATAGATTAATAATAGAATTAAATTGAATGTTATGGATTTAAAAATTATATATAAATATATTATACGATTTATACGTCTTGTAAACAATATTTCCATCTTGGTACAATAATACGTGTTTGCCATTCACGATTCACCACTGCAGTATTGTATTTTGTACTTATTAATTGGTACTTGATATTATAGTTATTTTATATTTTGCCGAGTTTTACTTTATACACTTGTACATCGTGGTTTCGTGAACCTGTAATTTAGATCCTTACAATTAACATACAACATTGTTTACAAAATTGTATTTTAAAATGTTTAGTATTTTTAATAAAATTAAAACAAATTCACGTGTTACCACTAAAAACTCGACAAATGATCAACTTCAAGAGGAAGATAATATTGATGATCCTATAATTCTATCGACTATTAAAACTAATAAAACAAAAGTAGTTGAACACAACTGCAATGATTTGGGAAACATTGAAACTGGACCTATGCGTCCCGTACTTACAGTAAGTGGATAAACTATTTATGCTTTTTAGTTATTATGATTTATATTTAAAGTTAATATCAATTTATTATATGCTTGATATTCAAAAAATCCGTATTTTAAGCAACTATACTTATTTTTTTATATGATTAATTTTTTTCTCTTAAATATTCAGTAAAGTTAATAATTGTGTATAATGATGTTATAGGTGTTCAATATTATTTTTGTTTCCTTTTAATTTCAGGCATATCCAAAAACAAAATTTGGTTCTCAGTTAAGGTCATTCAGTAGTGAATACTTCAATACATATAACTGGCTTGAATATAGTATTATGTGCGATGCAGCATTTTGTTATGCTTGTCGGATGTTTAGTAATACAAATATGGAAGATACTTGGACAACAATAACTGGCATAAAGTAAGTTAAAAAAACATAATTAATTTGAATAAATTCAATACTTCTAATTACTCAACTTTTTTATTTGCTCATACATAATTAAATAATGATTTATTTTTTTGAAAAATTAAATTGTATACCTACTTATTGTTATTTTATATAGCTTTCAGAAAGATTGAAGAACATAATTCATCTAAAAGCCATTTGACAAATGTTTCAAAACTAGTTCTTAGTATATCAGCTAAAAAGTCTGGAAGTGTAGTATCACAACTGTCTGCTGCACATCAAGAAGAAGTTAAGCAAAATCGAAACTATATATGTCACATTATAGATATAGTTCTGTACCTTAGTAAACAAGGAATGGCATTTCGAGACCACTCTGAAGAAACTAATTCACTTAATCAAGGTAAGTTTTAATGAAAATATTATATTAGCTTATTAACATTTTACTGAATACAATTAAATAAAAATATATAATTATATTTTGTAGCAAAATAAAATAATATGTTAGTTTACAGTACAAATTTTTTTTTTTCTTGATTTAAATTTATATTTACTTACTACTTAACTATTTAAAAATAAAAATAAATACATTTCTAGGTAATTTCAAAGAGTTAGCTAAATTGTATGTATAGTCAGTATCTGGATTTCAAAATATTCATAACCGGCATGTTAATTATACCAGTTGGAAAATTCAGGATGAAATTATTCAATTATGTGCTAATGAAATTGATGAAATTATTGTAAACGAAGTTTCTTCTGTAGGATTTTTCGCTCTAAGTGTGATGAAGCAAGGTAATTTATTATAATAATATAGTCATATAATATGTAGAAACAAATTAAGTAATTTAATATTTGCTAATTAAAAAAAAAAAAACTTAATGTTATAGATGTCATAAAGAAGAGCAATTATCTATATGTATTAGATACACGGTTGGATTAAATATTCATGAACGGTTTTTAGGATTTGTAGATGTATCTAGTGGTCAAAAGTCAGACCAGATTGTAATAGCTATATTTGACTTTTTTAAAAAACAAAAAAATAGTCTACAACATATAAATATTGTAGCACAGTCATACGATGATGCCAGTGTAATGTCTGGTCACTTAAATGGTGTACAAGCTAAAATAAAAGAGCACCACCCAACTGCCATTTACATACATTGTATGGCACACCGTTTAAATTTAGTTGTTGTGGATGTATGTACTTCAATTAAGGTATAATATTAATAATATTTTATTATATATATTAACAAAAAGAATCATTTATCAATTTATTTAAATTTAAATTTAGGAGGCTCGTAATGTATTTAATACCCTTGAAGCTGTTTATGTTCACTTTGCAAAGCCTACAAACAATACTAAACTATATGAAGTACAAACTAAATTAGGTTTGAAAAAAAGTTCTGTTATGAGGGTATGCTATACCCGTTGGGTTTTTGTTTGCTAAATGAAGAGAACGGTCTGCCATTTCCACATTACTTTGGGGCAAATGAGGGTTTTACTTTGCTTAAAAATGTAAAGAGACCATTCCCAAGAAGATCATTGACAAATACAAGACGTATTTTTAACTACCGGTAATGTTTTTATTGAATTTTTTGTTACAATTTTTTTTCAAGATCACTCACAGTAATTAAAATAATAATACAAATAGTGATCTTGAAAAAAAATTGTAACAAAAAATTTAATAAAAATATTAATATCATGGTTGCTACGGCGCTATTTTTATCGATAAAAGAACTACATGACTAATTGGGCTGGTTTCATTAAAGGAAAGGCAACCGCCACATTATGTTGAAATGCTAGTACCTAACCTAGGAGCAGATTTCCCACAGATAATTTTCTCCTCCATATGTTTAGCATAAATTTGGTATCATAAATATCACTACATCGACAATTTCTATTCCATTTTATATAATAACCATTTTATAATATACATCTACATCATAAATTATTATATTAAACGATGCCTGTTTGAACCGCACTTTACAAGCCCACGTATCTGCGTTCACCCAATTCGGCTCATTAAGATAAAGCCGAATAAAGATGAACTTTGTCTCTTGTCATATCGCGATTTTGCGATTGCGGCGATGCTAATCGCCTGCGCTCCACATTCTCGACCGGCTAACCAGTTCGCTCGCATCCGCCGATTAGGCCGTTTTACGTAAAAGTGCCGACCGCGTTCGTCCAGTTTTCGGTTGTGTCACTGTTGACCATACGTATATGGGTCATCGTGCCGGCCGTTTCGGCATTCCGACAAATTCCGTTTTTTTTGTCATCGCCTCGCTACGCGTGTGCATAATTAATTACGCGGCTTTATGCCGTTCTATATTTATATGCGAATCCGGTCCGTTCGTTTCGACCTCGAGTGAGGTACATAGTGTGGAGTACATCCTATTCTATTCTACTGTTATTCTACTTCTAATTCGTGAGCAATTGGTCGTCGTATCTTTGGTGTCGCCGTTACAAATTACAATATATGGGTTTTGAATTGCCGACGCAGGAATCCGCATCGGGAAGTCCGTCATCGTCTGTGTCACGTACGCCAAGCAGTCGGGTCGTTCAGTTGGCAGCACCGCATCAAAGTCACACCGGGTGATATTATCAGAATTATTCATTTGTTATTATCATTGTTGTCATTGATACTATTCACATATTGATCTGTCGATCGTATTATGATATTGTATTATTGTCTGTATGTTAATTAGTATTTTTTTTAGTTAGTGAATAATTTTTTAATGTTCCTACCATTATTTGGGCGCCCATAAAATTATTTGAATGTCTACACACTATTATTGTATTTTTATTTTTTCTTTAGTCGAACATTATATGTATTGTGCGCGAAGCGCCTCCATAACATTCTATTTATTATTATGAATTACATATAAAGGTCACCCTTCCCGAAATCGACGCGAGTCGGGGTAGTCCACTGCTAAAATACATGTAAGAATTATTCCGGCGCAACAATGCCCATGTGGTAATTATTATTAAATAAAATGAAAACTACAAATAAACTTTACAATAATATTATGCCCAGGGCCGGATTTAGGACTAGGCTACTTAGGCTATAGCCTAGGGGCGCCACGACTTGGGGGGCGCTAAGCCGTGGAAGGTGAATTTTTTTTTTTTGTAGATACTAGATAATATAATTACTATTTGCAAATTTAATTTACCATCTACGAGAATTTATATAGTTGAACTTAAATATTAGTAATGAATAATGTAAATTATTATAAATTAGTTCGCTGTTGTAAATATATATTATAT